TATATATTCCTATATAGTTATATGTATATAAATGTATGTATGTATTATAATACGGATATGATCATCAGACCGATGATTTGTAGATCATCTCGAGTTGTTTCGAACTGATCCATATTTATCGATCGGAAACGTAAAATAAATCAATTAACGTCTTTATAGTCAAATTCTCGTCTTCGTCCTTCGTCCTCGTAATTATTTAATTCGTCGTTGAATTATAGTCCGAAACATAAACGTTACTAAGATTAGAAATCACAAATGAAATCACAGACTTTCGTTGGTGGTTCGACAGAGTGAAAGAGAGAAAGAGTGTGGAGGGGAGGATAAGGTAGAGAGGAAAATTGGAAAAATGGATGAGGATGATAGAGGGTGGTTGTGATGGTAAATTGGGATAAGAGATTTTAGGAACAGTAGTATAGGAGGATGGATGTGAGGGAATAGGTGAAGATGATAGCCGCACTTTTACGATATTAGAACGAAGACGTCTTCTTCTTCCTCTTCTTCTTTTTTTCCCTATTTTTCTTCATCATTTTAATCAGTTTAATCATCGTCATCGTCTTCTTCATAATCGTCGTGTTCATCATCGTCATTTTATTATTATTATTATTATCATTATCATCGTCTTAGGCATCGTCAAGGAACGAAGTTCGGACGAACAATTCAAAATCCGGGGGAATATTATTCGAAATTTCCCCTAAGAAGGTTTCATTCCCATCCATTTTCCTTGATCATGTGGGCTAGCTCAATTATGAACTTACCCTCCTTGTACTTTTGACTCGACTCAAAGGCATGCTCCTAAAAAATAAATTCAAATGTGTTAGAATATATGTTAGATACTTTTTTTTATGATTCAATCTATAAAAGTTTTTGTCAATTTGTTTTTATTTCTTTTTTGAACTTACGTATTTCCAGCCGAGAGTCGTCTTGCAGCATTCGCAATAAATATCAGCGACCGCATGAAGGCCGGTTAAGAGGACACGTTCCTCGGCAGGACCACAACCCACGTTTACCCTAATACAAATAAAAATATATTTAACAATGTTATCCCTTTAAACAAACGATTAATAATCAAATAATTGTGAGAATATTTGAAATAATTACAAACGAATATAGAAGAAGAAGAAGAAGAAAAACAAAGCAAGGAATTTATTACAAAGAAACAATCATCATTTATTTGCAATTTAATATTGCATTAACTTACACAGAATTGAAGAGATAGGCACGTCCTTGACTGCCCTGGAAGGACTGTAAAACAAGAATAAAAAATAATCTTGAATTTTCTTAGAATTCATTAAAGAATTCAGTGCAACAAGGAACTATACCAATAACAATGCCATTGTTTGTCAAATAAAAAAAAAAAAATAGAATCACGAAAATCCGCTATTAATTAAATAAATACGAAGAGAAAAAAAAATAATAGCCGTAGTAGACATTAATAAAATATTAATATTAAAAATTAAAACATTTTCTATAATAAATCATCATCCTTTCATCTTCCTCTTGCACTTATTGGGATACTCCTTTTTGTTTTGTTTCTTTTATTTCTTAATATATAAAAAAAGAAAAGAAAATTCCTTAAAAGATTATTAATCGAATATTAAATATTAATTATCGAGGTAAAGAAAATCCGTTACCTGATAAGGAGAGCTCACCTTAGAGATGAGTTCGTCGTGATTGGCGAGGTGAGCACGGCAGTGAATGCACGAGTAAGTGCGATGACAGGAGGGCAGATACGCTTGGAAAGTTTTGACCATGATGCCGTGTCCAAGCGAATTTAAATTATTCTCTCTCCTTTTGTTTTGTTTTGTTTTATTTTCTTTCTTTCTTCTTCGTTTTTCTTATTATTATTATTATTATTATTATTATTATTTTATCTTGAATATTATTTTGCCTCTGTATCCGTTTCTGTTATTATATTAAATACAATGAACCATTCCTCTTGTAATTATTATTTTAATTCTTGTTTGTTGCTAAAATTTGTATATTATTTCTTATTTGTTTCATATATTTTCTTTGCCCCCTGTTGTTTTTATTAATTTGTCTTTCTTTCTCTTTCCTTCTTCAACCAACACAGTTCTCTTTCGAACGTGAGCCTTTAAAAAGATCTCGTTATTATTCCTTAACGATTATCTTGCAAATATGCGGGGTGGTGGTGCAATAGTGGCCCCGTTCACCGCCGCTTCGTACTCCGATCAGCTGTTGAGCTGGTTCAGACAGCGCCGGTTCGGGGACACCTGAGGAATAAACAATACAATATAAATTAGATATATTTATTCCACATTGAAATTCAATATTATAAGTACAATTCTAATTATAAAATAAATTTTACAAAAATTCATTTTAGTTGGACAATGAAAAGTTTTATCGGTGATGGTTATGTGTCATGGCAACCTATGGGACAAAGAACGACGAGACCTTTTTTATTTATGATGCACGTCGACAAGAAGTTTCCTTCTTGAGAACGCAGGAAGTTCTTTACAAGAACGCAGGAAATATACGCATGTATGTATGTATCTTTAGTCTGTTAGGTTAAAAAGAATAAAAGAATAAAAGAAAGAGAAAGAGAGAGAGAGAGAAAGAAACAAAGAAACCGACGTGTCTTTACAAAGTTTTATTTTAACTGCCTATCTATACCGTGTATATCATTATTATTATTATTATTATTATTATCATTACCACATTATTATTTTATATTATTGCATTATTAATTTATTTATTTTTTTATGTAAAAATCACCTATTTTAAAAGTTCGATTTATATGTCGATAAGTACGAACGTTTGAATTTAGCGCCACGCGTAAGTCTCGCGTAACCCGCGAAATTTAAAAACAAAACAAAAAAAACATGGAACCAATACACAAGATTTTTGTTTTCTTTGTTACAAAAATGTTCGACAAAAAAAAATAATGCATATTAAATACCGTTATACTTGGAAATAAAAGGGAAAAGTAAGTGCAAACGAGATGCAGGCTAAAATTCGTGAAATAAACTACAACGACGACGACAACGACGAAGTCTCCTGTGTTTAACCTGTTCTATTCTTCATCTCTTTCTACCTTGGAAAAAAGCGGCAACGATTTACCGTGACCTTGCAACGATAACGGTGTCGTTCTCGAATACTCTTTCAGTCTGTGTCAAGTCGAGCCTTTTAAATATGGAATTAGCGTATACATGCACACACACACACATATATATATATATATATACATTTACGGTAGTAAAGACACGGTAACGAAGTTTTATTTTTCTTCCAACAAAAATTGCTCGAACAGTAAACGTGACTTACATCTTAACGTCATTTTAAATAAATTATATACAGTTATACTATATGCACATTTGGAAAAAGTTACATCATCTTCAACGTTTCATTGTTAAATATTATAATAATAATTTATTGTATTCTTTCTGTATATAAATTTTGTTATTTGTTCATGCAACCAACTGTAAGAAATAATAAATAAAATTTACAAGATACTCGATGGTATTTTTCATTTTGACGAATACTAAATGCCAAGAGAGAGAGAGAGAGAGAGAGAGAGAGAAATGGAAGAAAGGATTCCCTTACTTCCTTTAGACGAATTCATGGCAACTGAATGAGATGAGAAGGAAGAACAAGAACAAAAACAAGAAGAAGAAAAAGAAAAGGAGGGAGTATTCTGAGAAAGATAAAGGGAGTAAAGAAACAAAGCGGAGTCAATACCACTGTTCAAGGTTATTTCAAATCGTCATCAACGTTCTCCAAGCATTCACTGAATCTTTATCAGTATTTTTCTTCTTTATTTAATCCACTACTTGATATATATATATATATATTCTTTTGTTTAATACTTCCTTACCCCACCTCCTCTTTTTCCTCCCTCTTAACCATAGTCAGATAATAATAATAATAGGATACACAATTGGTTGTTAACATTAGATATACCACCATTTTCAACCACACTAGTCAAAATGACTGGTGTATACAACAACAAAAATGCTTTTTGAGACTTCCAGTCTTTATTTACTCTTAAAAAATAACAAAAAAAATATTTAACAATAATAATTTTAATAAATAAATGGATTTATAGACATTTTGAGATAAACAAAACGGTTAATTATTTACAGAAATCAAATGTTACATGAAATAGAAATTTTGAATCAAAATGACTGGTCTGGTATATCTAGTATTAATTAAAATAAGAAACTCAAGGGGGAAGTACACATGTCATCGATAAAGTTTACTACTTTAACAGCAAATGTGTGCAACAAACAATACAATGGTATCATAATATTATATTACGAGAATCTTCTTTTCTTTCTTTCTTTTTTTCTTTCTTATGCATTTATTGTGTTGTGTGTTGCAATAATAACGTAGTATTGCGCATCAGTTAAATCAGAATGTGATACACAAAGAAAAATAAGAGAGACACCACGCAATAAGTATGTAAGAGAGAAACTTTACAAAGAAAGAGAAATATATATATATGTATATGTTCGTTTTAATCAATATACATGCATAACAAGAGAATCGCATTTCACGAGGGCCACGTGCTGCATCTTCTAACACAACACATGTATACATCATACATACATACGTATATACACAGATAAACATATCGGAAGATAGTTAATGCATAACGATACCCAACAAAGTATATCTGCGTCTTACATTTATTCGATTAACGTATATAATACACACACACGTGTTGATTTTTATCGTATTTTGTATGTTTTGATCTCTTTTTTCTCTTTTTTTTTTTTTTTCTTTTAAATCGTTTCATAAAATTAATTGCACTTGTCATTGAATAATCTAAGAGTATCTTCTTTGATATAACAAAATATGAAAATAAATAAACAAACTATTTTCATGTTGAAATATTGGTATGTTATTTTTCGTCAGTTTTTTTTTTTTTTTTTTTTTTTCAAAGGAGGATTATGCAGACGGATTGTCGTATATACTTATTGATAAATGTCATAGATAAAAATCGTATCAATTGAAAAGATCGTGTTCCGATTTAACGTACACTACAAAACATGTATAAACACATATACGAATATATATATATATGTTCTCTTATCGAACCATTTCTTTCCTTCCTCTTAGAATCTTGAAAAATAATCTTTCGTATTATTCGATTTCCGTTATGCATGTAATACTTTGATGCAAACGAGAATTAAAAATATCTAAGGTTGTTGTGTCGTGAATATTTTACATAAATTTATCATTTTATGTTATTTTTTGAATATGTACGTGTGTGTATAAAGTTGAATATTAATCTTAAAAGAAAACGCGCGCGCGTGTGTGTGTGTGTGTATTAAAGAAACACAATGTTGATATCGTTTGTTAGAGTTTTCTATTTAAAGAAACGATTGACCGCATATATCGATCGATATATACAAATCAATCGAAAATAACCTCGATTTATTTATTTATTGGGTTGGTTAATAATAGTAATGTCGGAATATTTGGTAATATATATATACTGTGGCCAAGATTCTCTTTGAATTATTTCTTCAAATCACTTACGATAATATCAAATTACAACATCAATTTTTTGTACAATTATTTATTTATTTTTTAACATTAGATATACCAGACCAGTTATTTTAACTGGTCCGGCCATTTTAATTTAAAATGTCTACTTCATGTAACATTTGATTTCTGTAAATAATTAACCGTTTTGTTTATTTAAAAATGTCTATAAATCCATGTATCTATTAAAATTATTATTGTTAAACATTTTTTTCGTTATTTTTTAAGAGTAAATAAAGACTGGAAGCCTCAAAAAGCATTTTTTTTTATACACCAATCACTTTGACTAGTGTGGTAGAAAATGGTGGTATATCTAGTGTTAATATGAAAGCTAATAAGAACATTTTACAATTTGAATAAAAAAGTACTTCTCTCTTTATCTAAAAAAAAAAAAAAATAATAAAAACAAAATAAAATAAAGGATAATTGATCATTTTTAAATCACTTTGATCTTTTCGAGATCCAGTGCATGTTAAAAAAACTCTGACATTACTAATCGGTTAATTCAATATTTCCATTCAAATATTTTCTTTTATATTCGTCGTCGTCGTCGTCGTCGTCGTCGAAGAAATTCGTTCAATTCTCAATGCTTACATTTCCATTGATAGAATCAAATATTTGATCAAAGATTTGCTTTCAAAGACCCTTTCTCACAAATCTAAAATAAGAATTGATTTTAACAAAATGCTGGATTACTAAAGAAAAGTTCGATCTGAAGTTAACTATTATTCTCTTTTATATATACACCCACCCCTTATTTCTCTTTCTCTCTCTCTAATGTTGAAATCGAACAAGTGCAAAAATGAAATAGATAAAGAAGAAACATGTTCTCAACTTATATGAATAGTGTTTCACACGAAAGGTTATACTTTAATCGATTTCGCGCTCAAGTAAACGTTTCAAAGCTGTCGGGTCAACAATTTATCACTTATAATCTAACTTCACTTTATCGTCAGCCATTTTACCTTCGATGGATACGCGCGCGACGTATTATGCTTTATTATTTAAGTTAAATTGTACTTTTGGTAAAATTACGTTCATTTTTACAAAATATTTTATTTTTAACATTACAAAAACGTGATATAATGATATTTTAGTTATTATTACTAAATTAGTAAATATGGTTTAATAAATTATACACTAAATAAATATTGTATTATTTTTAACTTATTATAATATAATTATACTAATTATCGGTACAATTACGATGCGTATCAATAGCGGAACTTGGAAATAACGTTCAAATGATCAACGGGAAAGTCAAGTTTGCAAAGTGTTGTTATATATTGAGTCACGTAGTTATATACATATATATATATATACGAATAGCACCTGGTATTTTCTAATGATATCCTTGAATGAAGAATCGAAGCACGTGTCCGGAATGACGATGCTTCGTCGTTGAACTTTCCGAACAGGAAACAAATATTCCCACGTTCTTTTTTTTTTTTTAAATTATTAGGAATATTTAAAAGAAAAAAACAAAAACAAACTATAAAGCCTATTATTATTTCCCATATTTTTTTTTGTCTTCTACTTCTTCCTTTCTTTGTGATGAAACTTGTAACATAAAAGAAGGATGACATATTTCATTTTAAAAATTAAGAAAATTGAATAAAAATTTTATAATTATTTTTTGTAGCCAGAAAAACGTGTTGATATTTTTAAATAATAACAGTTCGTGCATTGATTTGATCCTCGCCGTAACAACGTTGGAGGGAAT